CCCATTCCCTCAGGTCCACTCCCTCCCCAGGAAGCGGCCTGGGAAAGCTAGTGAACCACCGCTCTCATATTTTTGCTGCCACTTTCCCCCTGCCGCCATGTGCTCTAACGCCTTGCTCCAATCGGTCAATCTGTTTCAAAATGGCACCACTCCAAACCACAGAAATGATGCTCTGCACCCAAGCCTCGCAAGAGTTTCCCAACCACCACTACTAGCAATAGACGCAACTGAGGGAGTGAGCTTATGCTAGAAGGTGAAGAGTGGGAGACACCACCATACAAAAGGATCAGTAAGGCTGTGCAGTGGTTTTTAGGGACCCTAAAAAGACATTTCATGCAACCCTTATTTGCACCAAAGGCCCCCAGTTTCCCTTGTCTTTCTTGCACATCAATATTTTGTCTGAAAGCCCTCCTTCCACCCTCTTTTTCCCACACTGCCCCCCTGCTTTTTGTTTCCCCCTCACCTCTTCCCTGGATCTTTCCACTTTGGGAAACACTGGTGTAGTACAATACACTTCTCCCTGGTGAATTTCATTTTGTTAGTTTTGGCCCAAATATCTAATCTGTTAAGGTCATTTGGGATTCTGATCCTGTCCTCTGGGGTATGAGCTGTCCCTCTTAATTTGGTGTCATCTGCAAATTTAATTCCTAGCTGCTGTTCCATAATGGAAATGGGCTTTCTTTGAGTTGGGGCTTTGAGTTCTGAATCCTGTTTCCAATTCCCTGAATATGTGCAAAATGTGCTTCCTCCCTCATTACTAAGATAACTAAAGCCAGTGCTTCTATATCTAGAATTAGAGGACTAGTCAGACAGCATCTTGGGTGTTAGTTCCAGACAGGCTTTGCCCCCCCCCCCTGCCCCGGCTCCCAACTCTCCCTTGTTCAAAATTAACTGGAAATGCTGGGAGACTATACCCCTGACCTCATAACCAAGTTTAAAAGGCCACTGTGGTATAGTAGAGAACCAGATCCAGAGGAGACATGAGTTCAAATCTACATTCAGCTATGAAGTTCACACAGTTTCTCAGTGTAATGTACCTCACAGAGTTGTTGTGAAGATAAAATGGGAGAGGGGAGGACCGTTTATGCCACATCGTGCCCATTGGAAGAAAGGCAGGTAACAGTCTAATAAAATTAACCAATCAATAATAAAACAGTGCAAATCACTATATTTCATTTGGATGTAGCTTTAGCTTTCATTGTTTACAATGCATTCAAATGTGAAGATTTTTGCAAAGAGACACCTAGGAGGCTCACCCAAGACTCGGTGTCTGCAGGGGGGACAAAATGGGTAGTTCTGACACTTGGGTCTTCAGATGTTGCAGGACTACAACCTGAGACATGGCTTATGGCCTGGAAGCCCAGGGGCAAGAAGTGCCATTGTCCTACTATCATTTTCATAACCTCCAACATTTCACGGATGAAAACTGGGACACGTGGCCAAGCAACATCAGAATATGGTCAAGATGACAATGGTAATTAATGACAAACAACAAGAAGCTAGGAGAGGCTGCAGCAATTTGCTTTTAACTGAGCATAATGGGAAGGGCAAGATTCTTTCTCCTCTTATCCCCTACCCTCTGCTGAATTAACAGAGGCCAAACTACTTTTGCATTTTGAACTCAGTTTGCAGCAATTGAAATAAGCTGAGGACAAAGGGGAGAAATGGACAGAGGAAACTGGGACATTTTAAAAGTAGTTGAAAGAGTAGGGTGATAGAGGATTAATTGGGACTGTCCCTGCCAAATCAGGACAGTTGTAGGGTATGGATTTTGACCCTTGGTGGGGAAGGGGCAAGCAATAGGAGGTCTCCCTTCGTTGAAGGTCTGAGGGCAATGTTCCTGCTAATACAATGGGAGCTACAGCCTCTGAATCCAAGGCCATTGGCTTTGCTGGCTTGGGCATCATGGGGCCCAGCAATATCTGGGAACCCAACTTTGGAAACCACTGAAAGGAAGCTAGGGGGGGTTGTTAGTATGCTTCATTGGCTGGGTGATGAGGGTGATGGAGGTTTCTCAAACTGACAGGAGCTACTGGATATTATCCTTCAGTCCCTGTCCTCCAAGTGAAGCATTGAGAGTCCATGTGTTAGAATTAAAAGGTACTGGTGCTCCCACGTCTCCAAGAACAAATCCACATCCAAGAAACATCTTGAAGCTAGAACATGGAGTTTTTTAAACTAATGACAAGTACAGATCATCACATGTCTGTAGTCCCATGCAAATCAATCCAGAATGCTCACTGCCGTTACAACCACTTGATATGCTCACATATATCAAACAATGGAACATATTACCTCCTCCATATGCTGTGAGTCTCTCTGTTCCCAGAGTTCTGTCCTTGATAGCTCATTATCACTATCTTATCTCTATTGAGGAAAATGACTTTTTAAAGCACTATTAACATGGACAACATGATACAGCATGAACACAGCAGCTTCCCTTCCACATCTGCCACTGCCCAGTCCAGATATATGGTCAGTGTGGTTGAATGCATGAATTCAAATAAGAACAAAATAAAATAAAATAAGATATTGTGTGTGTGGGGGGGGAAACACATGGTATTCCATTGTAATTGCACTATAGCCTGCCATCCCTTGCCATTAGCCCTGCTGGCTAGGATTATAAGATGTCCAAGTCCAGTAACATCTCAGAGGACATGGGGTCTACAACTTTGATATAAGGACAGGTGTTTATACAGTAATTATCACTTGGAGAACAGAGGTGTGTTACAAGTTCCCTCCTTCCATCAGTGAATGCTTTGAGCATTCTGAATGTTATTATCCCAGCTCAACAGAGTGCTTCAGGAGTCTTGGCAGGTAACTTTGAGGGGTTGCAGACTGCGAGAAATAGTGCAAATTGAGTCCACTTTTAGGGTTAGGGTTAGGGTTAAGGTTAGGATTAGGGTTAGGGTTAGGGAATCAAGGGAACTGTATTTTATTGTGGCACCAGAGCTCTCTGATAGAGAAGGTTCAATGTCCCAGGGAAAAAAAAACAATTTCCATGATTCCCTAGCACTAACCCTAACCCTAAAAGTGGACTCAATTTGTACTATTTCTGGCAGTCTGCAACCCCCATTTATCTGCCATTGTGACAAAAAGGGCTACATTGTTGTATTTCTTCAAATGTCACCAACATTCTCATTCTGTTTTGTTTCTTATTTGGTAACCAGGTTGTGCTTGTTCTTGCAAAGAAATCTGCATGGATTTTTAAAAAGTATACTTCTTTGTGTTCACACTTTTAATATAGACTTTCCTCCTCCAACTAAAACATGTTTATACCTATTTTTCTAAATGTTTGTTGCTGTGTGCTTTCAAGTCATTTCTGATTTATGGCAACCCAAGGTGAAACTATCAGGGTTTTTTTTTTAGCAAGATTTGTTTAGAGGGAACTTACTTTTGCCTTCATTTGAGGCTGAGAGAATGTCACTTGTCCATGGTCACCCAGTAGGTTTCCATGGCTGAATGGAGATTTGAACCCTGGTCTGCAGAGTTCTAGTCTAACCATTATACCACACTAGGGATGTTATCACACGCGGGTCTCAAAGCGGCAAGAAAGCGGTATGGAATCAATCCAGAACTATACCGGTATAGACCCCACAAGACGGAAATTGCTATCAGACGCAACTAGCATCATTGCGCAATGAACGAAAGCAGCATCATTCCGGTATCATTCTGGTCGCGCAAATGTAATTCCCCAGGAAACCGGCGTTCAAAAGAACGGGGATGATGCCGCATTGGGACGGGGATGGGACGGGGTTCTGTGTGACGTCATGTAAACACACGGGAAAAAAACCCGCAATGGGATGGGGATGGAACGGGGTTCTGTCTGCTTTAGACCCCGTGTGATAAGGTCCCATGTCTTTGCTTTCCAAATGTACTAGTACACATGCCTTTTAGCCATCCATATTATTAAAACATAGGCATAATTTTATACATATTTTATTTCTCCAAAACAGACTGTAAGCCTATCACATGTGTCTATATTTTGGAGGCACAGTACACTTTGTCTCACAATGAGTCTAGGACAGAAGAAAGTAAAAAATAAATGGGTGCCATCATTAAAAACTAGGATTCTCATCCATTTCTGTGCTAATTATGATTACAAGCCTCAAGTGCAACATAAAGGCAGAGCAGTCCTCTTATGATGTTTATTACTAATTCCCCAATCTGTTGACCCCTTGGACACATACAGGCAAATGAATATTGGGAAAGGGCTGAATATGGAAAAGAGCTGAGTATGAAATGCTGGGAACTGCTGCCTAATTTTTTAAAAGTGTTTTTCCCAAGTTGATCCAAAGCACTGCAGTAACATCTGCCATCCCCCAAAAAGTACTTGGATTTTCCCTGGCCATCCCCAAAGACAGGACCTCTAGTTATTTGGAATCCTCCTTTCTCAAACAATTTCATCACCCTTGCCAAACCTAATTATCAGCAGTTGTGAAGTGCCAGCAGACAGAACCATTTAGTGTGAAAGAATCAAAGGTCAGAAAGCAAAAGGGAGAGAGAGAAAGATTCACAGAGGACATAGTTAGGCTGGAAAACAAGTGTTTGCCTGCATATGTTATTTTATTTTATTTTATTTTATATGTCACTTTTCTTCCATGTAGGACCCAAAGCGGATTACACCATAAGGTAAAAAGTACAGCTAAAAAAACATCTGAAATACATTTAAAAAGCATTAGACACAATCCACATTAAAACAGTTAAAAACCTGAAAATTCCACATTTTTTTATTGGCATGGCTCTATCAATGATCGGGGGGGAGGAAATCAGAAATTAGAGCTACAATTCAGTAAATTGGGAATTTACAATACAATAAAAAAGAATACGTTTCAAGCTTTTTTGTTGTTGTTTGCCTTCAAGTTGTTTCCAACTTATGGTGATCCTAAGGTGAACCTATCACGGGGTCTTCTTGGCAAGTTTCATCAGAGGGGGTTTCCCATTGCCATCCTCTGAGGCTGAGAGAGTGTGACCTGCTAAAGGTCACCCAGTGAGTTGCATGGCTAAGCAGGGATTTGAACCCTGTTCTACAGAGTCATAGTCTAACACTGAAACCACTACACCATACTAGCCCTACAGTGACAAAATTACACTCAGATTTTTGGGAAGTGGGCTGGTCTGAGAACTTTTCAGCACCCCCTTCTACATGACCTCCTATCTACTGTGCCTGAAAAAATGGAAGATGTCATGGCTAAAGCAGAATCTTTGTCCCTAAGCATCCAATGATACACAGTGGTGATGGGGCCATTAGCTCTGTCCCTAGACATCCTGTAGCTGCAGGAAGGCATGTTCATGGGGTATCCACTGCCACCTCTGTTCTTCCTGGAAAACACATTACAGATGCTGGTGTGTGTGTGTGGAACTGCACTTGAATCCTATACGTTCTGTCTTCCATTGTGGAATGGTGCACATGAGGCCATTACAAGGCAGTTGCTCTTTTTTGTGGAGACAAAATCATTCTTCTGGACAAATGAAGGTATCAAGATACAAATGTAAAATTAGAACATGGGTTGGGCAACTGTGGAAGGTCAAGGGGCTATATTAGCCCCCCTAGGAGATTTTCGAGCATGTGCCCCCCCCCAAAAAAGCCCAATTTTCCTTGATGGGAGACCATCACTTTTAGTCTATGGGCTGTACATGTGCTGGTTGAGGAAAGAAGATGAAGAAGCAGACATCACCCTGCAGCACAAATAAACCCCACACCCATCTATTCATTTATTTATTACATTTATTTACCACCTTTCCTCCAGTGAATTCAAGGTGCCATACCACTGCTTTCCTCTTCCTCCATTTTATACTCAAAACAACCATGTGAGGTAGGTCAGGCAGTGACCAGTCCAAATCTCCCAGTGAGTCTCATGGCTTAGTGGGGACTTCAGTCTTGATCTTTCAGGTTCGGATACAACAATCCAACCGCTATACCATACTGGCTTCTCTTTGAAGGTACACTAGTCTCAACACAAGAGTTTAAAGAGCTGATTTCAGCCTGTGACATTCTGGTAAGTGGCCATAATATACTCCCTAAACCCTACGCTTGGATAGTTGCCCTAAAGGGCAGCTGTACCCATACATATGATCTGAAATGGCAGTTTTCCAATCCTGCACAGAATTTATTATATTCTATTTTAGTTATATCCTGTCTTTCTGCCGAGTACTACCCAAAATGCAATTGTCAACAGCACAGCATTTCTCTGGAGGCAGGGAGGAAGCCAACAATAACCTAAGAGGAAGAAAGCTGATTTGAACAACTGGCTGAATAGGGTTGCCAAGTGTCCTCTTGCCTCTTATTTGGGATCCAGAAAGTTCATCCCTTATAGGATTGGCAGGTATCATTCCTATAAGATTCCAGTCCTTATAGGACGTCCCTATTTGAGGATGGGAAAGCATTTCTTTTTATATAGACTGAACACAGTGCCAAAAAATCCCATATTTCGGGGTATGGTCCCTTCATAAAGAAGAAATGTGCATCATTGTAATTTATGAATGTGGACAGTATGTTAATTTTACAGGGTAAATTTTTACACTGCTAAGAACCGAAATCAATATTTTCATGTGAAATTTAGGTACAGCACACACTTGTTAATAGCTGCTTCCCAGTTGTCAGCCCTGCATGTTGTGAATTTGACTGTCTCTTATTACTATTTTGAAAACCTGGCAACACTCTGACACACAAGAACGTAGCAAGCAAAGACACGCCGAGAAAAGCTTTGCCCATTAAACTTCTCTGCTAAAGAAACAGGAGCAAGGCTGATTAAAAAGATGGCAACTCAATACTCAGGTCATTGGTGCTGAAAGTAGAAACCAGGGTCCCTTCCTGATTACAAGTAATCAATAGTGAAAGACAATACAGTACTTTCTCCTGTTGAACCACTAACTTCAGCACCTGGACAGCACAGAGTTAGTGAGGTGAGTAGAATCATAGAATCATAGAGTTGGAAGAGATCACAAGGGCCATC